CAAACAAAAAACCATCACCACGAGTGAGACGGAGTGACGAGAAGCTGTACCCAAGTACGCATCTGCCTGCTAGCGTCACTGAAAACCAACAGAACAGAGGAGGATTCCTGTGGTTAGATCGGTTAATCTTCTCCAACCAACCTTATAATAAACTACAACACAAAGGAGAGGGAAACCAACTCCTTCTCCCCCCTGTCCGGCTCGAGGTCCAGCTTCAGATTTTTGGATGATTTAAACCACCAAGAGCTCCCAGCACACCGTGGGTCTGGTTGATTTAGCGTTCGGTGGGGCCGGAGATCCCTTCTCCAATGGAAGTTTATGAGCTAATAGGGTCGGCCGTAGTATTGTTTTCAGTTCCAATCAGGGTGCAGTAAGCGGCAGAGATCTAGAGGCTACTGAACAGAAGAGGGGGGTGGTAGTTAGCGAACATCCGGGACACGAGATTTTGCTGCGCAGGAGCATTCTGTTCAGAGTTAGCGAAGGGAAGTATATTCCCTGTGCCATATTCCTCAATCAGAGAGAGTATTACGGCACCCGATTCCCAGACTGCAAACTAGATGTTTGAGCTGTAGACGAGCGCTGGGGGAGACTGCTTTAAGATTGACGTCTGAGAGTTTTCTGTTTGGCGAGTGCCGTATAACCCCTCGTTGGTCTTCCGAATGTGTATTGAGAAGCCTGTGGACGTGACCATACCGTACCCCGTTATCTGAATGAGTCCCAGCCCTCCCAGAGCCATAAAAACTTTCTGGAAATCAGCGTTCATCGCACCGTAGACGGCGAGCTGACTTCCATGCGTTGATTTAGGCAAAGTTTTTGAATACAATTGTCGAAGTGGTAGTTGCGATGGTGGGTGAGTGAGTGAACGGAAGAGTTTCCGATGGTTTGAGTAGGCGCTCTCTCAAAGGAGGTTCTCCGCTGTCTGAGACTGATCATCTTCCGGGAGTCTGCCGGCTTCCCTGCAGGCAGCATTGCTACGATGTCAAAAGAAAAAAAAAGAACCCCCTGGATAAACAACCATGAAACCTCAATTGTTGATTCGGATATCATTTCCGCGTGGGTCCTGGGTTGAAATACTAACCAACTGGCCTCATCCAGCCCCCGAGAGATCCTACTGGTCCGCAACGGAGACAGAACCACATGTAGCGGAAAGTAAACCCTGACTCCCGGGATACCTTACGGTACATGTGTCCTGACGGCATGATATACGTGTCCTGAGATGACAGCTACAGTAGTATGAGGGTAGAGGGCTGCTACAAGCCAAAAGCCTTCCTGATTTACGGCGGAACTGGTTGGAGCACGTATTCGCAGGCTAGATAATCTATGTTCCATGTAGCGCTTGAGTATGGATACAGCCTTTCTAGGATTGAGAAACCAAATTAAAACCCAAGGCGGGTGGTCCAATATCATCTGAGCAAAGCCCAACATCGCATCCCTCAGAAAAAGCGGGCCCGTCGTATAGCGAGAATGCCTATACAAACAATATTCGTCTTATGCATGTTGTATGGCCTGTCTCGCGACACTGTGTCTCCGCTCTGCCGTAAGCTTTTGTACTTAGGGTGTGATTAAGTTAGTGGATGACCACACAAAATTTTGCAAAGGTTTGTGTGTGTTGAACTGCACTCCTCGGCCAAGACCTTCAAAAACTCCTGTAAGCGCGGCTGGAGACTTAATCTCACCCTAAGTCAAAGTACCGTAACCGAGGACCGGTGAAAGTAACTTCAGCCGCAGTTACACAGAGCCCAAAGATGGAGCCCCAAGTTAAAAACGACGTCCCTCGGTTGCTAATCAAACGAGAATAGGAGATTTATCTACAGGCTCGAAAAAAACAAAGTTGCCCTTGATGAACTTAGCCATATCTGTAGAAAGCGTTAGGAAAACGTTCCAGGGGGTGGAACATATCCGCCAAAAATTTCAGTGGTGCGATCGTGCAGCAGCTCACAGAATGGCAACTGCTGCCTAGAGTCAGTAGCTGAAATTTTTTGGTACTGTACCACCAATAATTGCAACACTCAACAATATCCACCCATCGATGGCAACACAACACCTAAGCTCAAACACCACTAGCATCCGAATTCTGAAGCAAGCATGTGTTATCCCAGCCTTCTGGTCGAGAGCCTTGTGCCCAAGAACCAAAAGAATGAAGCCTCCATATCTCTCAAAAATACATCTTTTGTTCCTGCATGCCCCTATCTGCAAACTAGTGATCCCAACACTACCGGTGTGGGCAGAGCTAGAGTAAGCTGGTGCCTTGAGCACAGCGGTCAATGAATAGAGTCTAATACTTCAGTCATCCCAGCTAAATCTCAACTTCCATCATGACACGTCCCCCTGCGTCTTTGGTCACCACCACCCCTACCACTACCAGTACTATAGGACGACCTCTGACATACTTTCTTCCACAGTAAAATATTCGTCCCCAGTCAGAACTGTACTTTCCACCTGTTGTGGAACGTGAGTTGAACACCCTTGCAGATGCCAGAGGTGCCCACCGCATCGGAAGAGAAATACTGAAATCCGACGATCCGGTCAAGGACTTCAGCTTCCCTTGTTATTCGTCAGCCTGTACGTTAATTATCCCGAAAGGGGGTTGTCAGCAATTAACGGCCATGTGGTGACTCTTGGGGAGAAGATGAGAGAGTATAAACTCCCCTCCCCTCTCTCCCCACCCCCCACTTTTCCTCCCTCCCGGCCCTGAAAACCCGCCGTAGAGGCTTAAGCCACCACCACTATCTTCTAACGAATCTTTGAACCGTGCATTCCTGAAACACACGCAGATGGCCGCTCTAGCGGTAAGACTAAGAATATTAGGAACGAAACGTCACCCCAGCCCACGTAGCCTACCAACTGTAGCAGGGAAACATCCTGATAGGCCTGGGACAGAAAAGTCTCGCATTCGAGGGCTGTCCAATGAGACCCAAGGCTCCTTTTCGCTCTTCCAGGAAAAAACAAGTGAGAAAAAAACGCCGATCAATTATTTTAAACTCAGAGTCGTGATCACGCCAGGTTTTGAAGATCAACTAGCTAACATGCTCCGCGATTCCTATAGATAAATGTGATCTAGAATTCCCTCACCACCCCCTTTTTCCTACATAGCCTGCGTGGAGAAGGTGGGAGGGGAGAGGAAAGAAGGGGGGGGGGAGTCCCCACGATCGGAGGAGGGATGATGTGATTAGCATATCACAATATCACCCCCGCCGACATTCAGCTTTAGGGATTAAGGTTGTTCTGAAACTGGTAGCCCACCCCACCTCCCTTCCGGCTCCCTGGGTTGACAATATTTAGCTCTGCAGTTGGTGTATCGTAGCATGGCGGGGGGGATTTTATTCTGGTTTGTTATTATTGTAAGGCCAATGGGAAATGGCATACAAAGGGAGGGAAAGCAGAGTGCAACTCTACGCCTAGGAGAAAATTGGGAGGCAGGAGAAGCAAAAGCAGAAGTAGAAGGGGTGGTTACCTCCGAGTGAAAAAACGTCCGGGGCATATTTTGACTCTCTCTTCAATAATAGATTGACTAGCCATAGCGTACTCCAACAGATTGTCCAATTTCCCCGACATAGATGCGATACTGATAGTGCTATAGGGCGGCATTGTCAGTCGACTCATCCTCTACCGGAAAAGACTCATACCTTTTCGATTTCTTCTGTTCCGTTTCTTTCTCGTGATCCGGTTTATTCGGCACGACATTCGTCGCCCTCCCCGGAAACGATCACTATCGATATCCTCAACTCACCTGATCCAGGTTCCAGGTGTAAGCATAACTATCTATAGTTTAACTTATCATAAACAATCGTTGACCCGTTAACAACTTTTTGACTTTGTCTTGTCTTGCCCTGCCTTATTGCCTTATCCACGGTTCAGCCCACAGCCACAAACACATGTACGAGTGTGTATGTCTGTACGTGTTTACCCTACTAATGGTTATATAAATAGATCAACGCGCGTAGAATACCGGTCTCGCACAGGTAACCAAGGCGCACTTCTCATGGGAATTTATTCGGGTTCCTGGTAAATACGCCACAGAAAACGAATTATTTGTGGCTGGGGCCGGTTCCCATCACGGGGCCTGAGTTAATTTGTGGTTACACTTGTCTGTCTAACTCGGAGCTGCTCTAGATTTCGTATGTATGATATATTTACAGTAGCGCCAGATCTTTTTCGAGCGGAGGGTTGAGACGAGAGCGGAACGCTAAGAATTATAAAATACAAATTGTGACAAAGCTAGTAAAGGATAAAGTAGGAAAGGAGATAGTAACAATCCCGTCAAGACCGCTTTCGCCGTAGCCCTAAATCAAACGCTCAGTATGCCAGTGTCTTCCAGACTCCCTTTCATCCCGCATACCACCATTCTCTATTATGCAAATAAACGCTCAAAAACTCGAGAAAAAGGCAAGAGCGAAAGCACGACAAAAAGAAAGACGTAATATTATAGTGAAAAAATGATGAAAAAATGAAAGTAAAAAAACCGAAAAACAATGCCCCCATAAAAAACCGGACGTGTACTCGCATATCCTCGCTAAACAAATCCCAACTCCAACCCTAAACATAAATCCCCTTCATCTGATCCAAATGTATAGGGCGCGCTCAAGCCCTACAGTTCCATATCCATGGGGCAGAGATTCCCTAATAATATGATCCAATATTCGCCCCAGCACTAACTAGTCTCTTTGCCAGCCCCTATGTCCTCCAGCCGCGAGATGTGACGGAGTAACTCCGCTCCGTACAATCCAGTCACGCTCAACGTCAAGCCCTGCTCCCGCAAATATGAGTCTTTTAGCCACTTCTTCGTGTCCATTCATCGCAGCCCAGTGCAACGGCGTCCAGCAGACGTCTGGTGAGTTGAGTGACTCATCGAACCGCCCTGTGCCAAGTAACTTTTCCACGACTGCTTCGTGACCATTCTTCGCAGCCCAGTGCAGGGAGGTGCGCTCCAGGCTATCACGCTGACAAGGACCCGCGTGAAAGTCAAGTAGTAACTGTATTATGACCTCATTTCCAGTTTTTGCAGCCAGGTGCAGGGCAGTTCTCTTGAGTCCCCAGGAGTCAACGAGATTGGTGTTAGCTCCTGCTAAGAGAAGTTCGTATACAGCTGCTGCGTGGGAGCCGTTTGCTGCTAGCTGTAGTGGCGTTAGCCCTGATCCCCCACCATCGTGCCAGTCCAGGTTTGCCCTTTCTTTTGAGATGAGTATGCGGACGATGCGCTCGTGGCCATTTGCCGCTGCCCAGTGGAGAGGAGTTCTGTGAAAGTCATCCGTCTGGACCACGTCTGCTCCCCACTCCAGAAGCTTGCGGACTACTGAGGAGTGGCCGTTTCGCGACCCACATTGCAAAGGGGTCCACGAGTGATCGTCAAGAGCGTCAACGCTGGTACCGGCCTCTAGGAGGATTTGCACGACGCAGTGATGGCCATTTGCCGCTGCAATGTGTAGTGGGGTCTGGCCGAAAAGGTTCTCCCGGTTGTAGGAGTGGCCAGAGTCCAGCAGGTGTTGGACTTCAGAAGAGTTTCCGCTGCGTGCGGCTTCGTGTAAAGGGGTATTACTTCGAGTGTAACTACACTTGGGTGTTTCCTCGACGGGTTCCCAGGGCTCCGTACTCCAGTCTACGTTATCTGGCGAAGATCCTAAGGGAGAGTAACTGTCATCAGGTCCTGGTGTAAAGCACTCGATATCTGAAGGTGTTGCTGCGATGACAAGATGCGTTCAGTTCAGGCCAATTTTGAGGAGAAAACAACAAAGCAAAGGAAAGCGTACCTGATGGCGACTCGGGGCAGATTGGCTCCTTGTGAGACTTTTTGAATCTCTCAATCTTCTGATCCGGCACGATTCGTCCGCGGACCAAGAAGACCGAACGCCTCCCTTCGCTTTTTCGTTTCTCTCGAATCCTAATGATGGCTTTCATCTCCTCTGTCTTCACCTTCTTCTCCAGGCCCCAGGCCTTAATTCTCGTCTTGTACTGCTTCTCTCTTTGAACCTGTTAGTAAAATTCGCCTGATGAAGGGTGGGTGAGATGGACGTTGCGTGAAAGTCGTAACGAGAGCTCATGATCCCCTTGACGTCCGCAAGACATCGTCCCTCATCAAAATAATGCAACTTTATCCTCTCCCTTTGAGCCCCCCACTCAGCTCGCGTGTAAACCCTCGGCTTCTTCGACTTGACTGCGTTCTCGGGATAAGCGTATGTTTGCTGCATAGACATTTTATCGTTGCATCGGGAGGGGTCCTGATAGCCAGAGGACTCCCCCAACAGGTTCTGGAAGGGCATGTCTTATGTATACTCTCCCTAATACAGAACGAGGCTGTAAAGAATCGATGGTACAGATTTTTCCGTGCTGGTTGGTCGGCTTGGAAAGAGTATATGTGTGGGTGGGCTTTTGGTTATGTATGGTCTTTTTGGAGCGCCTTGCGGCGTAGCCGTGCAACGTGACTCACGCGTTACAAGAGTCTGGAGATACAACTGTGTTACGCTACACAGGAAGGGCTATGTAACATCAGTGGAAGAAATTTGCACACAGGGATTTAAGGTAGGGGAAGGGTATGGAATCAGAGCCGTGATGGCATATCGCTAGCCAGCAGAGGGCCGGAAGTCGGCCGTGTATTGGTGCCCCCAAGCGAGAATGTAAGCCGTGGCTATCACGACGCGTCACTCGGGACATGATGGTTCGCAGGTGGACATGTCTTGAATCCTCACTTTAATCCCAATCAGACCAATGAGAGGGGGTAAAGGTGTTCTCTCGGCGCTTGGCAGTGAAAATTTGGTCTTCCCCACACAGGGGCCACCCCAGGGCCACCCCAGGGCCTTTGCCGAGACGGCATGAGGAACAATCCCATTCTCCACGAGCACTCGGGCTGCGCTCCAACCAAAGTTTCAAACTCCAATATCTCTGTGAAAACTTGAGATACCTCTTCTTCCCTCTCCGTTAATGCGTAGAGAACCAGCTATTCTATCATCTAATAGAGCCGTAATTATCGCTGGAGCGGTTGTCGAAAGCTCCCCGGGGCTTGGGGTTGAGCAATATTTTCTTGGCGGAGCACGTCAACTGCAGGAGTCCTTCATCACACTGCTAAACTTGAGTATCCATACGGGCAATTCCCGGATCCTTAACCGTTGACGTCACCGAAATAATCCGGAGCTCGGCACGTGATGATCTAGATTGGGCCCAAGTTTCTGAGCCACTTCTCCTGAGTCAAGGCTTGGCAGGAGCTTGATATCTCAATAGCGTTTGACATCCGCTAAGTGAAGTTACGAGTATGACTTCGGCCCCTTCACTTTCCGCAAACGTGACTACCCTATCTTACGGGACTAGGCGAGACCCGGCCCCTTTCACTCCGCTGCTCCCCGGAACCTGCCTAAGGACTCATGATGAACGATTCGGACCTCAACGGGCCGACACAAGAGCAGGCACGTGAGGTCGAACGTTCACTCAGAGGTGGGGTGAGGAAAACTGATGGGGAAAGCACTGCCAGGCGCCGGAATGGCGGTGGTAGCCGCATCAGGAGCCCCGGGGAGCAGCCTACCGGTAGGAGGGAGTTGGTGGGAGAGGAGGATAGCGATGGGGTGGATAAGGCACTTACCCAGCCAAAGTTCGTTATTCAATATTCACCTCTAGGATGAGACGATGCTGATACTGAATTTAGTATGTGGTGGGTCACCTCTACCGCGTTTCCGCTTATGGCGGCGGCATTCGGGCCGCCGGCCAATCTGATGTCTGTATGCGCGCTTGTGCAGTCGTGGCGGGTACAAATACCACCTGGGGGGAAAGAGACGGAGGCGGCGGGAGTCGACGATCCGGCTTGGTAAGCGATTTTTTTCGTGATAGGTGACATGTCCTTGGCCGAACTGTTTACTGATCCGTGTATTGGTGCCGCAGGCTTATCGCTATCAACGTCGTGTCTTTAGCATTCGCTCTAATTGCCAACGTTTGTCTACTATTAACATTTGCTCGCCGAATACGCTATCAATTATCCCAACCGATAGTAATAATTTTTTGGTATGACATTCTATATCCTCTTACCCTCTCACAATAGATATATCTCTGATAGAAATAGGTATATATCTTCATTCTTGCTGGTCGCTCTTGTTGCCGCTGCATCAAAGCACCTCCGGCTTTACCCCCCTCAAGAATTTGCCTTCTCTCAATCCTACTACTACGGCATACTATCTTCGGCGCTATATTTCATCGTAGCCACTTTCCTACTCTCGAACTATTTCAATAGCATAATATTAAAACGCTACCCGCCAATCTTCAATAGGCCAACCCTCCCCCAGCGATCCGTGATGCTCCAGACAATAAGTCTCACCTTTTACCTTGGCGTCGGGGCTCTGGTATTCAGCAAGGTAGAAGGATGGGAGTATGTCGACGGGATATACTGGGCTGACTACACCCTCTTAACCGTCGGCCTGGGCAGTGACTTCAAGCTAGAGAAAAACCTCTCAAGGGCCCTGCTGATCCCGTACGCCATCGGCGGCATAATAATCCTAGGTCTGGTGGTTGGCAGCGTTCGCTCGCTGGTTCTGGAACGTGGAAAGATAAAAGTAAAACGTCGAGCGATCGAGAAAGAGAGAATGAAATGGATAAAGCGACTACAAGATCAAGAACAGGAGCAAGAAGGGAACCCATCTCGGCCCAAAAGCGAAGAAGAAAAACTCCACGATGAGTTCTGCCTCATGCGCAAGATCGAGAAAACCGCCAATAGGAAGAGTAAATGGGCCTCCCTCGCCACCTCCCTGACGGCGTTTCTGTTCCTCTGGTTGGGCGGCGCCATGGTCTTCACATTCTCGGAGCGGCGCCAGGAATGGTCCTACTTTGAGTCCTTATACTTCACTTACGTGACGCTCTTGACGATTGGGTACGGCGACCTCTACCCGGAGTCTAATTCGGGAAAGCCATTTTTCGTGGTTTGGACCATGATCGCCGTGCCCGCCCTTACAATCTTGATATCGAACATGGGCGATACGGTGGTGCGGATGATCCAGAAAGCCACATTCTGGGTCGGCGCGAAGACAATCCTGCCAGATTTGGACATTAACATCTCACTCACCCAGAGGCTCAAACATATGAAACGCACCCGGCTGGGAAAACAACTCGAGAAATCCCCCGCAACCACCACCAACACCTCACCAGGGTGGTCACATAACCCACAGGAAGAAAAAGAGCCACTGCCAAAACAATTGGCAGCAGAAATACACATGCTGACAAAACACATGACCAGCAAGCCGCCAAAGAAATACTCCTTCGAGGAATGGGTGCGATTCTTACGACTACTGGGGATTGAGTGGAAGGCGGGGGGCGAGTGGAGTTGGTTGGACCAGGACGGCCCATTGGCGAGTTCTTTGAGCGAGACCGAGTGGCTGCTCGAGAAGATGTGCCAGAGGTTGGAGGGGAATATCGAAAAGTTGGGTGAGAAGGAGGGGATCAGAGATGATCATGAATCACAGGGGGATAACCATTTGTGAGATGTATCATAGGCAGGTGAGAGGGGGGGGGTGCTGTTTTCGCCGCTTTGTTTGATTACTTTTTCCTTTAAGTACGTACATATACCCGGGTTTGGCACAGTGCAGACTCGGGGGATCTCGGGGCTTCCTTTATAACTCGGCTTGTCTTTTCCTAATGTACATGATATTATGTGTGAACTCCCAATCCAGATCTTTCCTTTCGACACGTTTCCCATCAAATTTAAAGAAAATTGGGCATTTTGAAAACGGCAACCCCCCAACGCTGCTTTGACTGAACCAATCCGAATTTTGATATTTATTCGGCCCGAGAACCTCTTTCTGCTTAGCAATACACAACCAAGGAAAACAGCAGGGCAACCAAAAAATTAAAACCAAAGCTATCCGGAATAATCATCAATTTTCCAAAAATATTTAAAATTCAAGGCACCGCATTATATACTGTATATTGCTTCGATCAACACCGAAACTACCCACACACCTTTCATAAAATATATATATATAGAAATCCCCCCTCAATCGAGTCCCCAGGTGAAACCGCAAGAACCGAAATGTCCTCACCAAAACTGCCACCCTCCCATATATTGGTACAATACGGCAACCGGAGGATTTCAGAGCAGCGATTTTACCGGAATACCATGAATGATATATACAGTATTCCCAAAGCGTCGAAGATTTTAAAGTGCAGAAGGGGTAGTACAGTACCAGGACAGGGCTGTAGAGTACAGTACATGTATCTTTTCGTCCGGATACCAAACTCCTGGGCGAAAAAAAATACTAAAAAAAAAGACTACCTATTTAGGGTAGCTGTAGAGTAGGGTTAGTTGTCTACGGTATTCTGCCTGAGAGGATAGGCCTGTTTTTCTTTCTTTTTTTTTTGCTACTGTGTTGGGGTGGTTTTCCCGGTCGGTTCGGTGTTGGCTGTAACTACAGTACTGGTATCATACGTATAATATCACCACAGCAATGGCGCTAAGCTCTCTTCCTGAGGCTCTGTGTGAATTGGCTCGACTTTTCACAACGTTATGAATGGTTCATAATTTGAACAGTTTCGAATCGGCTTTTGTTTATGATACATCGCTGTTTTCCGCACAAGGTGGTGGGGGGGGTTGCTTATGTACTTTTTTTACTACATCTCCACATTCACATATCCTGATACTGTACCGGTATCCATATACCTGGACATTTATTCAATTCATTCAATAGCTTACCCATCTCTCAACTCATACAAATAGTAGTAACATAAATTAGTAGACAGTATATTATATTTAGGAAGGGGATGATCAGTGGATATTGAAGCTGTCAAGTAGGAAGGTTCATAGCGGTAGAGTTAGGTTAGGTTGCCCTCTCTAACCCCCCAGAGGAGGACGATCATCACTTCACATCTCATGGCCCACTCGCACTATTCAGTCAAATAAACAAGAAACAGTTCCCGAGCACCGCCAACCTTATTTTCCCTCCTCGGAATTAAGTGGACTACAGTTTAATAGCGAAGCGACCTAACGGACAAAACCTCCCTACTAACTTACCGGCGATCCAGTACTAGTACAAACGGTGCGATACCATACTCAAGTGTCATAAAGGGGCCCAATGGGTCTTGTCTTGATATCTACGGGATATGATACGACGGGTAGGGGCCTAGACTACCAAGGCTTTTCCCCCAACATTCAATAATTTAGCTCCATGATAATATTATGATAAACGTTTCACCTTACTCGGCTTCGATAATTCATCGGAGATTTCGGCGCATCTTAATACCGGCGGTGGGGGGGGGGGTTGGAACTGTAATTATGCTTTTGGGATTGTTAGGAAGAGTGATGACAGGGGAGGTTTTCCCGTTAACAGGAAGCAAAAAAAAAAAACCATAATTTCGACCCCATTTTCCATCACTATAATATCATAATAATTATTATCACCACTTGAGGGAAAAGAAAAAAAAAAGCCATCCGGTGCATCAATTTGTACATCACAACACAGTATTATACCAACTCGACCTCAAGTTACCACATATATCTCACTCACCCCTTAAGCACCCACGGCAATCCCCACTCAGTAGGTAATCCTATTCACACATAGCAAACCGCCCAGAACTTCCGATCGATAAAGTACTCTGCAGCCACGACGGCAAGGCCATGCACAACCGAACACGCCCCCGACGCACCACGATAAATAAATTTACTTGTACAGAAACCGTGAGCAATTAAGGCACGCATCACAAACACGTGAACCCGATATCGTGGAATAAAACCCCGGAAGCCCACAGACAGGTTATCAGACATTTATTCTATCGAATTTACCGACTTGCAACGTTAAGCGCTCTGTTCCCCCCCGTCTCTCTCGCCCATCTCGGCGGGCATAGGATACCGTTGTATCCGTTCGTACGGTACGATGGTAAGCTTATTGTCGTGGAAGGGGATGTAATCCAGGGATCCCAGCGGCGGTAACCTGACATCTTATGGGTGGAAGGCGTGTGGGTGGGGGTGGTTGTCCTATATATCCTTTCCCGGGCGGAACCTTGGACCGATCCTGGGGGCCCCGGGTTCTGCTGTGGGGTATTGGTATACTGTACCTGGGTACAGGGCTATACCCCATGTGATTCGCGAAGGTTGGCCCCAACGGGCGAAAATGGTAGGAAAGACTGCCGTGAGGGCTCGAATACGGAGGTTGGACTTTGGGCTATGGTATGACAGGATGTTGAAGTTGCCTTAGTAAGCTCCGGGGGGGGGGGGAATTTGGTGTTTTTTCCACCCCTATTAGGAAATTCGAGACTGCCTAGCACGTAGGTTGGTTTATTCGAGTGAGTGCAGTGTGTGAAATACAACCTCATTTATCCTATTCTAAGATATTATTATCTTACTTATCATACTTATTATACCAAACTTTCTAACCACGGCTTGCCGCACCAAACAACTGCAGCATAAACATAAAACTCCATCGTAAATAAACGTAAAACCATATCGCTACCATGGAGCGATATACCAGGGTCTGACGACAGCAAACTAGGCGCATTAAAAAAGACTAATAATAGTAATCATAATAAAACACCAAATCTAACCACAAAACACATCTCCAGGACATCCAGTAGAAACTCCGTGGGCGCTCGACCCAATCCCTGCAATCTCAAAGATAGCGTTAACAACGCCGCCAAATCCTTCACCAGCCATCATACCCGCGGCAATAGCGTACGCGAAAACCTCAAAGGTGGCGGGATTCCTCTTGGCCCAGACATAAGCGATGATAGCACCAGTCATCATAGCAGTAGCGAACTGTGTTTGCGGAAGCACAAAAGCGAGACCCATGGTCATAAAGTTGGGTACGTAGGCGCGGTACTTCTCGCGGTGCCCTGTAAGGTAGGTGTGCCTCACGATGACTACGACTGCTGCTAGGATTCCGAAGAGGATAGAGAAGATGCCAGAGGATTTCGGGATTGGAATAGTTGGGTTCGTGGCGGCGATTGTGACGGCGCGCCAGGCCGCCGCTGATGGGGCGGAAAAGGTGCATTTCTCGGCTTCAAGGTCTATAACGCAGGGGTAGGCCTTCATGAATAGGATGAAGATGCCCGGGGACATGAACATTGCCACCACGGAACCCATCGCTTGCGCGTACCACTGTAGAATTGGTGGGGTGCGGAGGAGGAAGCCAACCCTGAAGTCGGCTGTGAGATCAGTACTTTGGGATGCGGCTCCTGAGGCGATGGCTCCTCCGATAAGGTTCAGTCTTTCAGCAGTGGCTTGCGGAAGATTGGCGCCCGAGGATGCACCGCCGAGGATGAGCTGGGAGGCCTTTGCAGCCGTGGTTAACGGAGTAGCATCGGATACTCCTGTACACTGAATCACCAAGAACGCGAATATGAAACCAAGGAGAATGGCAAGAATCGACATGCCGACGTTCAAGTGATATTGAAGACCAAGGACAATGCAGGTTGCGATAATAGTGACGATTAGTGAAGGGCCCCATTGCCAGAGTTTGACCTGGTCGTCCTCAGATGCGGGATCTTCGACTAGGTCCTCCACCTCAATCCGTGAGTGTTTTTCGAGGAACGGGCTCCTTTTGCCAAATTTGCTTAGACCCGTGCTGAGACCCATCGCTATACCCTTCCGAGCCGACTTGAAAGCAAACCAGATTAATTTGTACTGCACGAAAAGCTCCGCGAAGGATGCAGCAAGCATGACAAGCACACCACTAGTGATCGTTAGCTATGAGGATTTCGGGTGGCACCGTGGAGTACATACGGCCAGAGAAGCCAGTAGCGGGGAGAGGGGCTGTTGATAGGGTCCTTCAGGTTGAAGGAATAGAAACTAACTAAACCCTTCCACTTGTCGTATCCAGGATCTCCCTCCGAAAACATTTGAACACCAGATGCCATGCCGTTATGTACGAGAAGAGGGCCAATGATACCTAATCGCCTGTTAGACCATTCACCCACCATGCAAGAAGACTCAGGAGAGCTCACCCCAAGCAAGCACGGAACCAGCAAAGAACGAAATAGCGGGATTAAGACCAACAAGCATTCCACTTCCGATAAACGCAGGAGTCCATTCAATAATCCATCCCCAGTTCTCAATAGCAAGGGCCTGGTTTGAGTATCCCGACCAGACAAAGAACCAAGTGAAGATATGCCAATCCCACAGAACGCCGGGGGCATAAGAAGACCCGACACGGAAGATAATGGCAATGAGAAATGTGATGCCTAGCGCCTTGGTCTTCCTCTTTGAAGCCCTTCCGGCAGTTCCGGTCAGAGAGTGCATAGAGCGGATGGTCATTGCCGTGGCCGTTGCTGTGGGGAAATAGAGCTTCAATTCCCTCGCGGTATGGATGATGAAAAACTTTCGCACTTTTACACTAGTTAATTAACGCATCTCTGGATAGCCGGGGAGAACGAACATACAAGGAGTAGCGAAAAACAAGCCATAATAGGCTGAGACAATGGTGAAAGTGAGCAAACGGGGAAAGTCCGATACAGGGTCCTTGAGCAATTTCAATTGGTACAGAGCCGGAATTGCAGTCACAAAGATAGCACCGAGACCACCGGCAGCAGTAGCAGAAGTCTGAACAATAGAATTCTCCTTCGGTCCGAACGAGCCACCGAGAATTGGGAAGTTCTGACCTAGGGTCTTGCTGAACGCGGTCAGGATAGCAAAGCCAAAGATTGCCCCAAACAAATTCGCTGCAAATGTCCATCCGGATTTGAGACCTTTTTTTCTCATCACAATGCATCAGTCTACATCTCTCTCCCCTTTTTTCTCTCTATCATTGGACCTATAAGAGCGCGCTCCTACTCACCTAGATAAACGTTGGAGGCATTGACCAACCCTCCCAACATACACCCAACAACTACCGCGCGAATTGTGAGAATCTGTGAGCGAGCTTCTTCCGGGGCTCCCTCGACGATAGGAAACGGGGTGAAGGGATCCCAATCGGGCTCAGAGGCAATGCTATCGTCCTCATCCTTGGCCCCGTGTTCCACATGGAGGGCGTGTTTCCCCTCTTGCGAGGGGGTTTCTATGCCCCCCTTGATGTCATGTGCGTTGGAATTCATTCTCCTCCAGCGAATCCTTTCCGATGGATTCCCAGAACTCAAAGGTAGAATCGAGGGTGGGATTGGAGAAGAAAGAAACGAGGGAAGAGAGGGTTTAGAATGGGAATATTGACCCACTGACTATATATGAACTCCCTCCCGCCTATAGTAGGAGCAGTATCTCGCTGGGCAGCCGGAACAGGGGTTAGCCAGTGTTTCCTCGATAAATGGATATCATAGGAAAGGGGCAGGAGCTGTACTGCTGCGTAATCCCATTAGCAGCGAAAAGCTACGGTATTTCTGTCCATACGCTCAGAACACCCAGCGGTCAGAATGCCCTGGGTGCACATGGGAGCCCGGCCAGCTGCACGCAATTCTTCCCGATTTGTAGCTCCAATCTCTCGGTGCTACTGCGACCACTTCGTGCAGGTCCCTTGCTTTTCTCATACCCCCCCTCCATCTTCTCTTCCTATTCCTGTTGCCCCGCCTTCGATCTACCTACGACTTCTGGCCCCTCCCTACGAACGGTACTCGAGTAAAGCGATACCGTGACACTCTACCGCTGCAACCCGCTATCCAGGGCCTCGCTCTATCTGATCCCTTGCTGAACCGTGGAAATTCTGCGGCAGCATCCAATCCTCATGCAAAAGCACCCTTTGAAATAGAAGGCAAGGGTATTCGGATTCGTACTGAATATGAACGCACCCTGTCCCTTATTCTCGCACAATTTCATTCAGCCGAACCGAATTCCTCGAGGAACCCAGAAAGACTATGTCTGAATGGGAAGAGAGGAAGAGGCGAAGAGAGGACGAGAATAATGATTGGATGACACGGTAGACCAGCTGAGCGGCATCGGGGGGAGCGTGTTTTCATGCCACTGGCATCCTACGAACACAGAGGGTTGTTCCTTTGGAGCATTACACGTATGATACTCGAGTACTCGAGTACAGTATAGTACAGTGCCTAGGATGTTCCGCCGGTACTGCCCTTGTCACCCTCGGTCCCCGCAACGGGCCATCCGCCGTCCTGCTGTGGCTTGACCAATCCAGTTGCAGACACCAGTATCAATCGTCGAGCTATCACGGTCAACATCAAGTGTCGCAACACTTTTTGCAAGAAGTTATCCTCACGCCAGCCGAGGTAGAGCGAAAGTCATCGATATTAGTAGAGAAAAATCCACTCTATGCTCCGAGTATCACGAACTTTCTTCCCCCGCTCTTCATGCGTCGCTGTAGCACCTCTGTTAGTACTGTACCACTAAAAGAAAGAAGAAGGAAAGAAAAAAGGCCACTTCAACCCGAGGACATGAACATGGACAAAACCCGGAGGTGTTGTTAGATCAGCCATCCGGGATGGCGTGGTGTGTGGCCGCACGCATCTGCAACGACCGTGATATCTCGACCTCGAGTGCGTCCAAACCAAACGGATGTGCAATCACTTGCCCCTGCGCCAAAGCGAATTTGGGGGTTTAACCTGTTTATCCTGGGCTGATGATCAAACAAACGCGCGCACTCCAATCGCCTCCTCTTCCCGGACACTTCACCATCTCAAGCCAGGGAGCAGGAAGAGGTAGAGGGATGGGGTTTGGCACGGTATCATCTACGCTTGCGTCTGGTGTGCCACAAAAAAATCGCAGGCAGGCGGTCCAATTTGATACACTTCCCCCCACACACAGCCTTTTGCCATTGGTAACAGATGGATAGGTTCCATGAGAGTCCTTGATATTACACGACCCTCAAGCAAAAGGGGGCTTCAAGACGGAAGTGGCCATTGCCGGGACCGGCCCCTGCCCGGATTGTTTCCGGGCCAACAAGGGGGGTCCCCAATGCTGAGAGCACTTCACTAGCCTTCTTCACTTGGCGGGTTTGGAGTGTCCGTTTTTCATCCCGTAGTGACTCTGGCGTTTGCAGACCCGGCCACAGTTGCATGACGCTGAGATTTAAAGCAAAAAAAGTGGGAATTCTGGCGTTAGGCAATAACCGCAACCCACGCGAATGTCCTTCGATTACCGTACCGGTACGAGTACGCGCATAGGATGCACATTCTCAGTCTTTTGCATAGCGCTATGCACAGAAAATGTCTCTATGACTGGACGCTCTCAGAAAAGCTGACGGCGGTAATTTAGATTAATTGGGGAGATTCTGCGAATGCGGTCGCACCCCACTGTCCCGGATGGCCAGTTTTCACAGATTTTGTCCGGAACAACGGGGTATTCAGAACAACAGGGAAATAGAGAAGGTATATTCCCATTCTGAAGAGAAGCTTTATCTCAACGGACTTTCATAGGCGGTATTAATACTTTTCATCATTTGACTGGCAGGCGCACATGTTACATGTTGTTGTAATCTCTTTATCCTCCTCTATATCACTACTAATAGTGGCAATATACTTCATCTTAATGTCCCAGTTCGAATCCAAGCATGCATCATCCTTTTCAATTTCTTTTCCTCTCCACCATCTACTGCCCTTTCTCCTTTTTGTCCTGATCTCAATTCTTTTTTGTATTTGAAATTCTTGTTAAAAAGTAATAAGGTAAGATATAGTAGCAATAGCCATAGCATCCTGCTATCCTTACTCTATGTACTCAAATGTCCGTCCTTTTTTTCCATCTTCAGTATCCCGTTACCCTTTTTTTTTATTATTATGATACTTTTACTATCAGCCTTGTCTCTCTACCTTAAGCCCCACCTTTCTCCTTCTTTTAGTCTAGCGTTTTTGACAATAGCCACAACATTCAGTTTGGCAGGGCTATCACCTATAGGAACAGGAGATATGGTTCCCCAGAATCTCATATAAATCCAAAAATCACCTTCTCCAATCCAATGGGGCGATTTCTGTAAGAAATTGGAGAAGCCAAAGGTCAGCTCCGACTCAGTGGAGTGTCCGGTTCAGCAGAATCAAGGATACAGGGATCCGACTGTATATATCGGAATCAAAGAGTCGCACTAAGCTAACTTTGTGCCCTCCCCCCTTTCCCCATAATAGTACTGCATCAGCACCGTGCCGGTAATCAGTGCGATCAACCCGGAGCAACCCACTACCACCCTCAAGGGCCCTATGCTAGGGATATCAAAACTCGGCCCGGTTGACACAAGTCAGCGAGCTGCATTACCTCAACGCGAAATGACCACCATAATATACCGTGCCATCTCGAGCTGTACTGTACGGTCCTTCGCCGAGACGTGGCGTTTCTCAAGATCTCACTGCACTGGAAATCTGAAACGGACACCAGGGGCAACTGGGTCGGCAATCAGAATCAACGGTAAACTTACCCTAAAATGTAAAATAATTGAGGAAAACTCCCCAGGGAACATCTAAACTACCCTCCTCCGATCCTGAACCTTTCTTCTTTCGTTCCGCGAGCAACCGGGCGGGAGACACAGATTTTTCACTATCAAGTGTTAAGCAGGAAATGCCGGTACTAGGCGTCCATAACGGTGCGGCCGGGGGTGCGGCAGTCAATCACCGACTGCCGACGAGGTTTGGGATGCTGATCAGACAAATACCACGCGCTTGGAAGCGTTGTGCTGGATGCCTGGACACCTAAAGACCGACCTTTCTCATTCCCACCCGGTCTGCGTATCTTGCTCGGTGCTCACTCAATAGAAAAAACAGAGTCGACAGGATCAAAGGGAACCGGTTCTTGGGTAGATTTTTTAGCTATTTCCCCGACTATTTTGATTTTGATAGTGCATGTGCACCGCTAATCTTGAGGGTTGATTCCGGATTATCGGGGGTGTCGGTACGATACGGTGCTTGTACGATGTACGGTACTAGGGGTTTTCAAAGTTAAAAAGGTAGCAAAATTTTAGCTTACTTTGGTGTTTTATGTAAACTTGGCATGCACAGAAATGGTTAATTTACTGTTACTTAACTTTACCATACCATAGGGTAGAGACGGAGGTCTGGAGGTCGGTACCGGATACTGGTCCTGGTTTTACACAGCTTTACCAATTCTCTAAAATCAGACATGATGTAAAAAGAAAAAATTTTAAAAATCAAAACCCAATTTTAAAAAATACCATAGCACATCCCAGGAATAATTATGTACTCTCACTGATAAAAATCTTCTGACTTTTGATATTTTGTTAACAAAAACTGGTTTCTTACCATCTCTGTAAGATTTACCATAACCTTTATACTTTGTCTTCGGTTACCCCAGAACTTTCAAATATGGTACCTGGAACATGAGGATGCTATTGGCTGATACCAGAAAGTAAGCTTATACAACTTCTGGCATTTACTCGTTACTGAAAAATCATGTTTTTAACTTTGAAAACCCCTACTGTACTCGAGTATAGTACTCGCGTATCATACAACCTTGAACGACCCACTACCGGTATCTTGGCGAAAACTGTATTAACTCGAGAACACGAGTGCGCGGCGACGGGATGACGACCACTGGAGAAAATGATGGCAACCGGTTCCACCCATTCATCTACCGTAACTACTATACCTACTTGTACGGCCCCACTCGTCAGTGAATGCGAACATTATATCCAAGCACCCCGAGAATCAGGGAAGGAGCGATACTACAAGTACTATTCTTCGCCAGCGCCACCAAAATAAGGAGTACTCGTCCAATAAAAAGGACAAGAGGAAGAGAGAGGGGGAGATTAAAAGTGGAACACGATCGTCCCGGGCCCTTTGTCCCGGAGAGTCGACTTACAATACTCGAGTATGGAAATTCCTGGCACGAAGGGTGCTTTATTAGAATAATGCTAAATCGACCACTCGCACCAGCCAACTCTGCAGCACAAAATGGTTCTTTCTTTCTGCGTTCCTGCTCCCCCTCCCCGCTTACAGAGACCACTTATGATACGGCACTGTGGGCAAGGTCGTACTGCAGGTACTCAAGTACCAATACCGTACAGCACATGCCGCACGCTTCCACCCCACCGCTCGCGTCCGAGGAAAGTCCATGGTATTCAACCCACAATTCCCGTACTTGTGCTTGGACGTGTATAGCCTGCTGACAATCACGGCGCACAGGAATGAGTGTGGTTAAATCCGTGTACAGTACACCTTAATCTAACTTCGCCTTCAATCGACCAGGCGCAGAGCCAAGCTGAACAAACATGTGCATCGTATAGTAATCACCATCCATTTCAAAAACGTCACCATGTTAGAATTCCCCACAATCGTTGGTCATGGACCTGACCTTCACACACACACACGCGCATACTCCCTTCTCAGCCACCGCAGGGAATCGATCCAAACCCCTGCCATATCCTCAAGAGCGAGAGAGGGAGGGGAAAGTCCGAGAAAACTAGAGGTGCCGAAAAACCGACGACCCCGACGAGGAAAACAGTAATCCCAGCAGGACAAGTGTGTGAAACTCAGGCCTGGGCTCACCTACATCTAATTTACCATTGCAAGGATTGGGGCGATAAAATGATGACACTGTACGGCGCACAACCGGAACTTCGGTATCGTGCACCACGGTGGCGGCGCACATGAGGAGCGTGACGCTGGAGAGGATCTCGATTCCTTCTCTTGTTCCCCTCTGTGTTGGGAGGTCCTGATATCGTATCATACCTGGCGGCTGGTTCGCTGTATTTACGGTGGTGTCGGCAGAATATAAGGGTCCGGCCCCAGGTTGGAGGCCGTGTTTGCGGAGGTTGTTGGCGGGTGCATAGCAAACCGGAGTGTTTTTTTTTTCGGTAATCTCTAGGAATCTTGGTATTGAAGTGTTTGGATGGCCTTTTTTTTTGGAGATTGTGCAGATGATCCCTGTTACATACACCCTTCCCATCCCTAGGTTCAAAGGTTTATTCTTTGGAAGTTGGAATTCCAGAGATTGCGCCAGGGCGACGGGCGAGTGCGACACCATACCAGTACTGCACTCGAGTACATTTCACCTGAATTTAAAAGTCTTTGGTTACATGCAACACAATCCGCTTTAAGACTTTCTTATGGCACTGCAAGAAAAAGGGAAGGAGGAAAAGAGGGGACCCCACGAAATTCCGGTCTCCTGTTTGCCCGTCTTGTGATCCATTGGTTACCAAGCTCACAAATGCCATTCTCTAGACATCTAAACAGGCCCCAATTCCTTCCGGACTCCTGTTGACCGGTGGAAGGTTTGCGTTTCCAGAAAGGTTGGTCGAGGCACGCGACTAGCCACAAGAAATATTTATTATATTCCTGCCGCGAGCGCCATCTGTTTTTCAAAAGTCTGTGGAATGGGGTGCGAATAAACTATACAGTTATGGTATAACTAATAACTTCACGAGCATCGGATTTTACAAAGACACCTAACTCACTTTCCGAAGACCTTTTTTTTTTTAAAAAAAAAGAAAAAAAGAAAAAAGCGACTTGTACCGTACTATTCCATAGCACCGGTATTCTCTAACCTTGAATTCTACTATAATTGCTTTTTATCAGGAGATAAACTTGCCAAGCAAAGTACGGCACCGAAATATAAAAACCCTCTACGATAAGTAGTTCTGTACAACACGCCGCAACGCATTCACACCTTCCCCCTCTTATCGGCTCTTGTAGAAGGGTAGTAGATTTGCCGACATTCCTTAGGGGCCGATAGCCTACCCATCCATTGCTTATGCTTTCTTCGCGGCCACTCTCCAATCCTTGATGTGATCACCGATTATCTTTGCAGCTTGTTCTGGAGTGTGTTGTCTTCCAAGAGCTTCAACGAAATCTCCCTCAGGATCTAGATGCCCCACGGGGAAAATATCCCCACCACCCCTCTCGGGGAGTTGGGCATATGGTAGTATTGTTAGCGCATGAGCTTGCTACATAGATTTACCAAGGAAGAAGCTAGTAGCCACGCGGGCTTCCTGCGAATTGCCAATAGATAAGGACTTGATAACGGGAGAAAAACGAGTGCTGGGTGGTTGGCAACTTGGAGGAAGTTAGGAAGAAACTTGCATCGGAGCCTGGCCCCTTTGTGGAAAGGCGTGGATAAGCTCCGGAGTAAAATAGGTCGAGGCTACAGACACTTGAAAGCATGAAGCCATAATATGCATGCATAGCGATTTGGTAAGGGGTTAACCAGATGCAAGCAGAAGTGCCACCGTAGAGCGGTTTTCCAAGCACTATAATTGAGAGACATTTGGGGGATGATGCTTATCATCCCGGTGGGGGTTTGTGCGCCGTGGCGGGGTGAAGGGGATGATAAACTTGAAAAGACGTACCCATGAGATAGAAGTAGATCGAGTGATCTACCAAGTAATCCTGCCCTGGCTTGATTTCCGGTGGGGTCGAGAAATAAACACGATAGGACTTACATGTTTGCTTGATTTGATCGTAGGTACCTGTGGCGGTTGGGATCTCTCTTAGTAGGGTATTCTAGGTGACTTACTTTCAATGGGCCAAACTCTCCCAGCTACCCAACACACACAAAGCCTGGTAATATGCTAGAGCTCTCGGATCCCAGGCAGATGATAAAGCAGCGGGGGAGGGACAGGGTCTCAAAGGGAGTTGGGATGAAGCCGGGGATCCGGCCCATCCAACGGAAACCAATGGCTTCTACATGGCTCGCAGATGGAAGCACGTACCTGTCAAACCGATAAGGTCCGGGTGAAACTCTGCCAAGTACTCTTTAATCTGTAACACCGATCAGCTACACCGCCAGGAGAATGCTACGCTAGGCCGGTATCCAGTGCCGATTATGGCGCTCCCGGTTTACTAGACTAGCGAGCAGTAGTTGGAGGCAACCGGAGTACTAACCACTGGAGGCGCATCTCTCGCCGGATCGCAAGTAATGAATAAAGGACTCATTACATCACCATGCTCTTTCTTAACCACTGTCCCAAACAACATTAGCAGGTTTCGCATCAAAAGAGAAAGCATGCTACAAGGGGGGCGGTGGGCTTTAGGGCCAAATTAATCAGAATATCTCAAAGGCGGTGTCACGCTATGTGCATCGCTCATAGGGCCGTGCATAAATATGGGTGTTACTAGAGCACAGCTAAGACACGGGTGCGGGTTTTTGTAAATAGAAATAATACTAGAGTATATATCCCGCAGATCTGATTTAATAGGCACGGGATAGCAGATCGCTGAAACGAATAAAAGCATTGACTCTCGAAGGAAGGGATCCTCGGGAAGGGTGAGTGAAACTACTTACGGTCAATCATTGATGCCATTTTGTCGAGCTCCTCCGGGCATATATCCGGGCAGTGAGTGAACCCAAAGTAGACCTGCAAACTCCAGTTTCAACATCAAAGCTAATGACCTGGAAGGTTAAGAGGGAAAACCCCTTCTTCCCATCCATCCGTCCCACTTACCAACATATGTTTACCCCTCCACTCCTCGTCCTTCCTCTCCTTGCCATTGTGGTCGAGCAAATTTAACGGACCACCAACCTTCGGCTTTCCAACACCCTTCGACATTTCAGCAACCCTCTTTCTTTCCATCCGAGCTTTCTCATTGCGAAAGTAGATGGTCAGCCCGACACCAGCAGCAAGAAATAAAATCCCAGATTTCCATGAAAACGGCTATAAGAAATTCCGCAAAAAAAAAGTCAAAGAATCAGCTAACAAATTCGTAAAGAAGCAAGATATCGGATAAGACAAGCTGACCCCATTGCGATACCGAGACTTTGCTTGTTCAACTGTTTTGAAGCCAAGCTTTCTTGACGATGCGTGAAAGCCCGACCTGCCGCTCGCACGCCCTGCGAACGACGCCCGGGGCAGTAGTGTAGTTGTGACAGGAGACGCAAATGATTGAATACTCGAACCGATGACGGAGCTCCTGGACAGACGAGCGAAACATGGAGATGCCATTGCCTGTTATTCTCTTCCCGTGAGGGCTGCGGGCGAGTTGTGGTGAGATGGAATGGGTTGCGGATCTGGTGGATCTGAGCTTGGATGGTAGGTGGTAGCGTAATTGGTGGGGTGTTCGAGGTTCGGCTTGATTTTTTTTAGGTTAACCTGCGATATCGGGAGGCTCTTGGTGCCAAGGAGTACTAACCGGGGCTCCAGGGATGTTCGCTCATGGTGCCGGTAAATTATCATAGCTTTCGCACCCGCGGCTCTCCCGGTACTCGAGTACTCAGGGGTAATCGAAAATTGGAACCTACGGGTAAAGGATGGTAATGGAGACCATTTGATTGGACAATCACCCTGTGTCTGGGGGGAACGTAATAATAATACAGCCGCACCCTGCTTTCCCGGATGGCCAAAACCCCAAGAATCCGTCCGGGACTGCGAGTTATCCGGGACAACGGATTACCGTAGGCTTTGGGGTAAAAAATTCACAATACAGAGCTCTTCCGGGGCAGCGGAAATCCGGGAGAGCGGGGACCGGGACAACATGGTGCGACTGTACTTGTACAGTCGGACCCCGCTATTCCGGATGGCCAAAATCCGAAGAATCTGTCCGGAACAGCGAGGGATCCGGGACAACGGGTGAGGTTTTGGTGGAAATAAATTCAAAGCTCACAGAAATTCATACGGGACAGCGAGGTATCCGGATTATCGAGATCCGGGATAGCGGGGTGTGACTGTACTATCATACGTTACAGAAGTCAAGGAACCCAGACCAGTTACCGTACTCTGAAGTTACTCGTCCACCCGGCTACCAGATGAACTAGTGACCGGTGACTATTATACCAAAGATTTGGAGGTACCTTCTATTTGCGTCATCCTACTCTCGGGATATGATACTCTCAGTTGTTAGTATTTCCGTAGGATCCTCAGTTTGCAATTTTAAGCTTAATCTCCTTGTTTCACGGTAATACTCGTGGAGAATGTCGGCGGTCACCCTTTCTGGTTGTTAATGGCTCGCCGAGTCCAGCGCGATAAGAACTCGGATAAACGGACCATGTTCTATGTATCATAGTCCGACATTTCTTCCTCTAGAAAAAGGGTCAGAATTCACACTAAAAAACTCCATTTTAGAGACAAACGGGAAAAAGGGAAAGAAAAAAAAACACCAAACCTTACGGAGAGGGGGAATCGCAAAGTCCCGACAAATAGTGCAATTTCCGAGTTCCTAGAGTACAGTACAACAGTATCTAACCGGGCACCACGGTATCTGCCTTCAGACTCCTTTCATTTTCATTCCCGGGATGGGGGGGCTTCTACCATCATGAGCCGATAAGGCCCTTGCTGAGAGAACCTCGATAGACTGATCACTTTAAGGATTCCATACAAACACCCAAGCACCGCAAAAACTGAAATAATTGGACATCGGGCTAAGAGTTATAGGGCTCCGTTCGTTGGATCGGGGGACCAAAGACACACACAGCGAGGAAAAGAGGAAAGTCTTTGAGCTCTCCACCGAGGAAGGTAGAAAAAAGAAAATTACCACTGACCTTACTAGGAGAAACAACTTCAATATCTTAGTGTGAGGTCCAATTGCTCCAATTTCACGGCACCTCAAAACCGACAATCGAGTCAAGTGGTTTCCCTTAGAGCTACCTCCTCGGCAAGGTTTATATCTTTTGGCCCCCGATGTTCCTCCTCGCAGGGACCGAGCAGCTCTTTCATTTGCTGTGCCCCCCTACCCCTTTTCGGGGTGCTGGGGGACTCTCGGCTCCACTTGCGCCCGCAAGGTTCTCATAACGTTTGATGTATCCCCAAGTCTCATCAGTGTTTGACACCCAGATCGCGGAAGCCGTCTACCGGGAAAAAACTTACTGGATTAAAAGAGATCTCTCAGAAAAGGGCCTTCTCTGTCTTGGTATCTGGAGATGGAGTTGGTGGAGTATCATGCTCGAGGTGCTATGAGAACTTTGTGGATGCAAGTATACTAAGCAGACCGTCCGGTCTTTAGCCTTCTCGTCATAGAGGTTGAGTAAGAAGGAGCGGAGATTGTGGGATGCCCTGATGATAATAGTTGTCGGTGTGAAGCCAGAAAACACACCATAGAGTCATGCTAAGCAGTGCGGGTATATTCGGTATACTCCGCCGGATGAAATAAGTTTTCAGCGCTGTAGCCCAACCCGAGTGATGGCCAATGATTCTGCGCTCAACGAATACACTACCACAATCTGTTAAACACCCGCCTTGGGCCATTATCCCGTGCTCGCAGCACTACCCGCACATTTATTTCTCCCCCGCAGGTAAAAGTGCTTTGTTTTTCACAAACCAAGGCTGCGGCAACTAATTATCCTCAGGGCTAATAAGGAGTGTACGTGCATGGGATCTAAAGCTGTAACCACTTTCTCCTCTTTTCGGGACCCCCCCCCAAGCCATTGCCGGAAGAGAAGTGTGCGAGTTGAGGAAGCTGGGGAAAGGTAAGGACTTATAGGATGGATGGGCAGTGCTGAGACACATAGATCAGAGGTCAAGATATCAAAGCCTTTCTTGTATTGTTATCAATACCTGCGTCCCACACCATAGTACTTATACCCATAGACAAGTATCCCTATAGAATGACACGAGTGCCTACATTCCATGCTGAACATACTTCCGACACATTGAAGCAATATCTACGACGGTCATCCTTAAGCAGAATCGAGTGAGCATCTATGAACCGCATTCCATACGTAACACTAAAAAGGGGGGCTCCAGCACCTACAAATACAATACCTACATCTATACGATGCCACGCCCTCCAGTTTAAGTCTAGTACTCGTTTATGCACGGATACGTGACAATGAGATAGTGGAAATGAAGTTATACATCGAGGTTTGCTGAATGCAATGATTGCTGTATATTGGGGTATATGCCAGGAAGTACCCGCCTGCCGCAGTATGATACATCGTGGCCTAAGTGGTCAAGGGGCTCTACACTCAATTGCTGTATATACGTGGGTGGAGGAATGAGTGCGTGGTGGACTACGTGGGCATTCCTGTGCATCCCGGTTTGTTTGCATGAGCGTTTGTGGTCACGGGGAACTTTACTTGAGCATGATATATAATCCAAGATTCCCCATCTTTCCTCTTACGCCTTTGGTTGGTCGATCGACCTTGTTCTCTCAATCCGTCTGGGTCCCCCAGCACAGATTGCGCCCCCCCCTCACCTATTGGGAAGAGATGGCAGTACATTCAGTGGATACCTCAAGAGGTTCTTGTCTACGCGGGTTGTATCGTCCAGGAATTAATAGGTGTCTCCTAGTTGATAAACCTCGAGGAAGAAAGATGGACCCATCGATTTCGTCCGCCCCCCGATCCGACGATTATATATAGGGAATATATACTAGCGAGTATGATATGTACTGAGCTTTTTTCCCCAGGGTGCTAACCAAATTGACAGCCATTAGGGCACTACGGGGATTGGGAGGGGCTTCAGATTTAGTCATATTTGAGAGTTTTTCCTGGGGCGATTCTTCAAGGAAGTGTTGCTATTATTCATGGTATCAAAAATCTGAAAGAATCACTGACTAATATAACCTATGTATGTCAGGGCTCTTGCTAACCTTTTATTATACTTTTGACTTGTTAGAATAAAGGCTTCCTCACCTTCCGCTCTATCCACCCGAGTTCAGTCTAGTACATTTCACCACCAGTGGTAGGCTACTCCGTTGGGAAAGTGCCTTCCTTTCTCCGTTTCTCCCTTTCATTGATACCATCTTAGTATTTAGGAAAAGGTAGTCAACTTTCCGGACCCTTCTACTCCCCTCACTTCACCTGTGTGAACTGGTGCTTGCACGCTGCTACAATCTTCATACACTGCGAGTGACGTAGCGTAACTCTCTCGGTCTCCTCTACTAATTTCTTTATCATTCCTCACCATTTTTTTCACTAAAGGTCACTCGGCAAACCTGATAGGACCCAATCACATTGGTATTTAAGGTTCCTCCGATAAAACAAAAATATTGTGGAGGATACAAGGCACTCGGATGGCGAGGTGAGGGTTTTAATTTGTAGGTTTATACCCTATCAGAACCTGTCACAAAATGATATATTTGCCCGAAACGCTACCATCTATCCTTACCGCCAGCCACGTATCACATTACCTCAGCGAGAATATAACCGCTCTATAATATCCCTCCTGATTGCCTTGACTTCTTCTCCCGATCACTCATATACCCAAGACATCACCAGGAAAAGCAACTACAATATTTCGAGGATCACCAAGATACACACATATGGTATTATCTAAGGTTTCTAAACCCCACCCAACGAAGTAGGACCGAGTCGCTAACCTTGGAAGCCCCCGGTAATGATCTCAATATTTTCATTGGGCGAGTGACCAGCAATGACCGCAACACGAACCAAACGATCAGCTTTTGGTCAAAGACTCCTCAGTCCGAGCCGGATCACTTGGCGCTAAAAACGAGTTCAGACCTCGATGTGTCTTGGGAGAGGAATTTCGTGGCAGAATGACATCTCGGCCCCAAAGCGGGGGATGCACTGCCGGACAACTTAATCGAGGACATTTATCATCCCCAGAACTATGCTCCCACTGCACTAGCACACTTCGGACACTTTTCATCAGAATTGGGGTTATCTGTGGATCAGTATGAATCGCCATTACTCTACGCCCTCCTCCAACGATAAGGGTCAGGTGAGAAATTAGAAGCGGTCAGGAGAAGGCCGGTCTGTCCATTTTTACGGGTCCTGAATGCTCACACGGGGGAAAGAGTAATAAAACACGAGAGCACCACAACATACTCATCGGGGATCGAAGATTCTAACTACCGATATCGATGAACTGTTCAAAGAGAAGCAGCCATGCCGCGAGCTTGCACCTCAAATACAAGTTGAGCTGCCGGTGTTGCCCAGACGCGTTACTCCACACCTCCCCCGAGCGGCTTACCTACTTTTAATGGTCGATGTGGAGTCGAGGCGACATGAGTGCCAATAGTACACTCTGACTTCGCGAGAAAGCCTGGTTCCAAAACACCTGCACCGGAATGCGACAGCATAACGTCATGTGTCAGTCCTGTCTAAAATGCCACGCATCCCCTCCCGACTCCCGAGCATCCAAAACTCTTCCAGTCGTGGGTGGAGATTATTGAGCTCGAGCACTGGGAAAAACTATCGTGGCCTGTTATGGATTGGTATACCCGATCAGTGCCTGGCAAATGCTATCTAGGTCAGCAATTCTCTTTGAAAAAATAAAAATGAATCAATACAATACGATTACAATACATGCAGACTGTTTGGCGAGGGATGGGCAAGTTTCCTTCCCCGAGTCTGGGGCATCATTTCCACGAAATAGAGGTAGAATGAAGCGCCGCACGAATCCCTACAATATCTGGTTATAGAGGGTATGTGCGAAACTGGGAACCCCTATCATGAAATGGCTAAACGTATATTGGTATACTTTATTAAAGCGAAAAAACGCCTGTCGATCTCAAACGCCGGTTCCCGAAAGAAGACAGAAATAATACTTCAAATCATGCACCAGCTGGCGAAGGCCACGAGAATCATTAAGGTGACCTCCTGGGGCATTTTCCCTAGGCCCGCTGCCCGCGAGTCTGTGCTTCCCCCACTCCCTCCATTACCAGCACTTCCTCCACTACTATTACTCCCTCCATTACCACCACCCCCTCCACTGCCGTCACTCCCTCCATTACCACCACCCCCTCCACTACTATTGCTCCCTCCGCTACCACCACCCGACCCGGAAGTTGATTCGCCACTACCCGTACTTCTCGGGCCACTACCACAGGAACCCCGGGGCCCAGCTCTATTTTCTTGAATCCCACCATACTCCACCTGGCTCCCTGGATCTGGGAATGCCACGTCTTTGCCGTCCACCGTTGTGCACCCATTTCCGATGTTCGCCAGAAAAATCGAACTGCCGGAGGCACGCGGAGTTACGAGTTCATCGGCGGGAATCGACCTCGATTTTCGACCACCGGAAATGGTAACCACGGCGCAGTTCATGTACATCTCCCGATTCCCTTGATTATTGAACCAAGTCCTGAGTAATTGGCCAAGTTAGCTAAGGGAGACCAAGGGTCCGACCCTAAAATAAGTATGATAGCTACACCGAAGTGTTTGGGAAGGAAGGTACCAGGCAAAAAGAGCTTCACCTCCAGGAACATTGTCAGGGATCTTGAATTCGAAGGTTTGATCACCGTTAGGATCGGGTTTAACGCATCCTCCTATCCAAGACTTGATGACAGTCCAGGTATTCCCACCGTCGAAGCTTAGGGACGCTTGACAAGACCCTCCGGCATGGGTACTAGAGCCCGCAAACCTATTTCCGGCTAGTTAGTGCGCGAGGGAAAATCTCAATTTGGCTCTCATGCTCACTGCAACCTATATGATCCCCCTTGCGACCAAGTCACTACACTCTTTGCGCCAGGAGTCCCGAGATCGTTGTGGTAGCCTTTACACGGGTAGTTGGATCCAGAAGGGTCAAGAGGCGCGTTATAATCGTAATCTTCGACAGTTTTGTGTGGATTTGTCTTATACCGGAGGGGCGGTGGATCAGACATAGACATGTGCGCAGTTGCCGGACCCACTACACAGAGTAATCCAAGGAGGGTTACGAAAAGAATTGTGGGTGATACCATCGTCCTCGGTAATACTGTAGGAAGCCGGGTGTTGGGGTGCCTGGTGAAGGAAGAAATGGACAAAGCTTTAGAAAGAGATACTTTTCGACCGGACCGCAATCGCTGAAGGTTCAGCTGAACCGATATCCAAAAGGGATTTCCCGTGTCACTGTTCAATGTCGCCCCGTAGTAGAAGTGACGAAAGGTTTCTATTATCGTGCTGGCCAGTGAAAAGCATGAATCAACTTTACTTGATTTTTTTGGCGCTCACCAGGCTGCGAATAGATGAGCTGGCAAGGGATGTGACAGTTGGAATTTTATTTTGCCCTTTCCTCTTCGTGGTCATATCAGTCTAGCCATTGAGCTTCCCCACCCCCCAATGATAGTGGAGGAAATTGGATGACCTTTGTCTTTCCAACATGTTCAGATTCTTTCTCCCAGCCGACCTTTCCGTTCCTCAGAGCAAGCAAACGAGCCGTTGAGATTTGTCAAACTGCTGCCCGCTTGACGCAGGCAATGCGGTTCTTGTTTAGCGCCCAGCCCCATTCGGGAAAGGGGATAACAAGGTGTGCGGTAAGTTTCCTGCCTCGGCGCTTGCCCAATCATATGCGGCCCTCCAAGAAAACTGGGCGCAGTCTGGATTCCTGATAAGGCCACCGCTCTACGGTACCGGTATGCCCACAGCCAAATATTACACTTTCATTAGTTCTTGCTTGCTGGGAGCGGATCCCCACTGTCCAGGAAGGCGGGCGGGGTGCAAGCGGGGAAGAAAGGAGAATTTACTGCGAAAACACCTGAACGAGGAAAAAACATTACAGTGAGCAAAACACTGCAGCGAACCAACTCTTGTGGGAGCAAACGCCTACGCTCGAGGCCTTGCAGGTCAAGTTGTACAATACTGTGCAAAAAAACTGGGAAAATAGAGAACTTGGTTGCTTGGACCGTAACGGTGTGTGGAGCAAACTGATTTTTGTCGGTTCGGTATGTAGAAAATGCTTTGTTAGGGAGGGAGGATTGGTAGAAGGGATGGGAAATACGGGTCGGGGAAGGGAAGAAGAAAAAATACGGCACAATAAATTATGGTGAGGGTGCGATAAAAATAAAAATAAAAAAACCAAAGTCGATGTGCTGGGCAATCCGTGATTCGATCCCACGATGGAAAGGAGGCTTATGGGCGATGACCGATGGCGGATATGAGAGCTCCGTCGAGGGAAGGAAGAAAGGGAGAAAGAAGGTGAAGAAGGATAGAATGGGAAAATGTACGGTAAGTTATCATACGAGTGTCGTACGGTCGTGATTCTAGGCCCATGAAAGAAGGAGACCCATTACCCAGCAATCCCTCATGAGAAGTAGAAAAGGGTTAACGGATCCCGGAGTATCATGCTGGTAAGCTGAAAGACCATTCTGGAACCTTTTCCCCAATCCTTCCATAATCTTATTCATAAAAATACTTGTAATACCATCGTGAAAAATAACATCGCGGCACAGTGCGGTAGAGTACAAGTGCGGTATACCGAAACACAACTTTAACATCCCCTCCCCCCCACAGCATTTCAAGGTACAGTACCGTACTAGTACTTGTACTGTACTCGGGTACTGTATGATACAAGAACGGCAGAGACGGATGAACCCGTCTTGTGAATCGCACCACGGCGCCCTCGCACACACCCGAGAGGTTTTTTTTCTTCCTCTCCTAAATTCCGATCCCAATCGCCCGGACGCGCTTGCTTGCTTTCTTGATTGCTCGCTCGCTTACTTACTGTAACTTACTGCTGGACCCGGTTATGATCAACAAGTACTCGAGTACAGTACCGCAACTTTGTGCTGTACTGTACCGGTATTTCCCCGGGAAGGAAGGAAGAGGGGAGGAGTAAAAAATGAGAAAAGAGGGAAAAAAAAAGAAATATTGGCACGGTACTTACTATTTGCAGAACCAACTGGAGTCTGTCGGCGTGATGCTTTTTGCGGTACTATACTCGAGTACTACTAGTACAGTACTGTGCAAGTAAAAGCGGATGAGAGTAGAATGGGATGGCGGGTTCATTTCCGCTGGCTCACGAGTGCTTTTCCGCGGGGTTCAAGTTGGGCGTCATGCCGTATGGCAGTCTGGTCTGGCTGGTTGTCCGGGGGTCATCGGGAGCGCTATATGTATTTGTATTTGTGCGTGTAGTTGGCATTAGGTACCGTACGGGCTGGGTGCCTCCCCACCCCCTGCTGGATTGGAGTTCGGGCGGCGGATTGGGGGGGGGGTCTTTGCATGTCGGGTGCAACACCGCGCGAGCATGTATCGGATAGAAGTGTGCGGTAGGTACCGGTAGGTTCTTCAGCCGCGGGGTTCTTGGGTGCAGTTCTTCCTCGGGTATGGACGTGGGTGACCGGACAGCCATGGATTAGAGGTGTCAAAGCTTCTTGCTTGTTCGAGCGATTCCCATGCCAGACTCATTCTTTTATTTCCTATGAGGGCAAGAACGGCCGGGTCTCTGAAATCCCTGGCTGTCCGGTCATCCACGTCCATACCCGAGTAGTGCTGCAACTCTACGAGCACTCGGGTTGTGTTCGGGTGGGAGGTAGGATCGGTGACTGGAGGATGAAGTCTGGGGCATTTTCTGGTTGTCCGTTGTGTGTAGGGAGGGGGTGCAGTGTTGAGGGCTGCCGGTATTATACGGTACCACTTCCAACGATGCGCATGGTGAGTGGTGAAGAGCACGCCTTGCCGTGCTCGTGTGATATGGCAGAACGTTACCGGTATCCGAAAACGGGGCTAACTTACCCCAAGTTTTTTCTTCTTTCTTATTTTTTTTTTAAAGCTGGTTTGGAGGTTGTGTAACTATGGCTTTATTTCCGGATTGTCCCACGGAACTTGCACGGCTCCAGCCAATGGTGCAGACGGAATAACACGGTACTGTACGAGTACAATGCACAGGGCTCATGCGAAAGTTATTAAAAGGTTCCGGGGCCAATCAATGGAAACACACTGCAAAATCCGACTGCCCAGAGCGGCACGCACAGCGCTGTATGGTGCTTGAAAGTAACACTGTTTTTGCACGAGAGTGCGAGTCCGGTTTCCTATAATTGATCCCGTGTTAGGTCGCAGCATACATAGCACCCTCAGCTCATACTGTACTGTACTGTACTAGTACAGCCGAACCCCGCTGTCCCTGAACTCGATAGTACGGATGTCCCACTGCCCCGTGTGGGATTATAAATTTTTAGAAATTCTCCACCGCAAAAATTGACACCTGATAGAGATTCTTTTGGTAACCGTACAGAGGCTGAAACACACCAAAAAAGAAAGAAGGCGTTCGAGCTATCGTTGCCCAGCCACCATTTGCCAGGACCAATACAGAAAAAAGGGTTGGAAAAGTAATTTTCTACAATAGCACCTAAATGAAAAGGGTTCAGGATTTTTCTGTTCATTTTTTTGCGGAGCTGTGAAGTCTGGAATGTGCTTTTCCCTCATGCTATGATACCTTCCAAGAGCCTTGTTTTTGTATTATATGAAGAAGATACATTGCTACCCGCCTTTACTCGCCCTCTACAAACTTTGATAAAAAGCCCAAATAATATGCATAATACTTCAGACACGCTACATCTTCTAACTCTTTCCAAAGCCAAGTTTCAAGAGATCTGTGGAGATATAGCGGCTACAAAACCCGCAGTTAGGGCGTGTTTGGGTTTCTGCATGGTTACACACTAAAAGACATGTATTGACCCATTTTCTCAACCCACCTGTTGTATCATACCGGACACTTTCTGGGGTTATGTCGTCCGGGATATGATATTGAGGTGCAACTGTGCCCTAGGCACCAGCACTGGGAGTATCATCATACCGGTAAATCAGGAGTATCATATCGGCAGTGCTTCCTGTCGTCTAGTTGGACGGCAGTCGACTGGAATTGACCAGTGCACAAGATGAAACACACCAATACTAAAAATACATGCCCACTGAGCGCCGATTCAGCCACCACTCGGCCACATGAGGATGACCATAATAACGGGGGAACATGGTAGCAGATTATTATCCTTTCGTTTGATTTCGCGACTTTCTCTGGTCGAGTGGCAAGCACACTACTTGGCCATTTATAAAGTATTCGGACGCTTTGCACCCACACAGGCGCTAATGATGCGAAGGCGTCCGAATACTTTATAAATGGCCAAGTAAGTTGAGTGCGACACCACATAGAGTTATTCGCTTTATAAAAATAACAGAATCACTCCGCCCCCACCAAAAAAAACAAAGAAAAAAACAAAAAAAAACAAAAGGCAATACACAGAAGCACACAACTTCATCAACAATTACGAAAATGTGAAAAGAAAACAACTTGGCAAAGTGGAACTTTGTAGTGAGAACAAGAAAAGGTCGTAAACTTGTTCCTCTTTTGCCTGTCTGAAGCCCTTGTACTCGGGGGTAGGGGTATTTCGGGTGCAGCGGCCACAAGTGTGAGCCACCTTGCACTAGCCGGACCAGGCTACCCCTTTTATCAGACTATGGTTCCGGAAGACTAGCCTGAACACCAACTTTGAAACAAAAAAGTATGACAATTTGCCATGCAACGCCAGGTGTAACACTTACAAATCTGCCTCCACAGCCACACAAGTTCTACAACCCTAGTACAACAACATTTAAGGACTTGATATTTTGTTTCTGCTTTGTTTATTTCCTGTCTGATAGGTTGTGATTCTAAGTATGATATCATATAAAATTAAATAAAGAGATTCCTGTATTAGATCTCTAATATGTAAATCATAATAAATACATTTAAATTATAAAATAAAATGAAAAATACAAACTCTGTTATACATGATGGTGAACCTGGGTTGCTGTAGAGGTAGATTTGTAAGTATTACACCTGACGTTGTGTGGCAAATTGTCACACTATTTTGTTTCAAAGTTGGTATTGAGGCTAGTCTTCTGGAACCACACTACTACTATCTCCTGGGCTGCTGTCACAAACAGTGACTAAGCAAGGCAGATTTTACATAGCTTAGAATTCTAAGCTATAGGTATGTTGGGATTTCACATGACACAAATTAGTGCGCCATAGGTTATTATGTTCACCTGTTCATGACTCACAATTGTAAACTATATGATGTTATGATTTTTGCACAAGACACAAGTTATGAGTTACGGGGCATAGATATAAGTTGCCATAACTCTATAATGTAGTGTCATTACAGGGGCCGCTGCCAGGTGTCAACTGGCATCTGGTCCCTGGGGCCACTGACATCCTTGGCTCCTCGCAGCAGTACTCCCTTCTTAAAGCTTCAACTAGGTCTGTCCTCCTCTGGGACTGGGGCCTGCAGGCCCCCCCTCTCCAGTACTACCCTTACCCTCCTCCTCATTAGCAAAAATTTACTCTTGCGTCCTGTGCGTCCTGTGCGTCAGACGCCCAGGACGCACAGGACGCAAACCGTTAATCAGGACGTCGGCTAAATCCGTTCTTGCGTCCTGACATTCGCATCCACACCCTCCTGCATCCTGACGCTCACCGGACGCGCAGTACTCCAACCCCCCTGCGTTGTGACCCTTGCTAGCTCGGTTCTGGGTGTCCTGGCAATCCATGCCCTTTCCCCCCTAGTGTCCTGACGCCCTTACTACTCCTGCCTGGCGTCCTCACGCCCTTACTAGTACTACTCCCGGCCGCCATCCAGACACCTCTGGACCTCCTGCCCGCCGTCCTGACGCTCCTGCAAGTCCCGCCCGGCGTTTTGGCCATCCGGGCATGCCTGCTTTGCGTCCAGAGAATCTCTGCTGCTTCTGCCTCTCACCGTGACGCTCATCAACCCTTCCCCCGCATTCCAATCCTTTCCATGTAAAGCCAGTTCTGTTTGGATGACTTAATCTATATCGCTTGCCTCCCACCGCATGTCTCGTCCGCTATCCTCCTCCGGAGTTCCTGTCCCTGCTCCTGTGTCTCATGACTTCGAAGAACTACTCCCGTGTGTCCCGAGTCCTACATTACCCACCTCTTCCATCCTGATTTCACACTTTCAATTGACGTCGTCAGGATTGTCTAGCCGTAATTGGAACGTACTCCATATGTTCTGGGACTTTCGGTAACTACATCCGATTACAATTTGGTCTCGATATGTGCTGCAAATACTCTATTTACGATCATACGGCGTCACATTGGCCCACCATTTTAATCTATTGAGTACACTAGGTGCTATTGAAGCTTGCGATCCCACCAGCACCGCCGGTACCCATATGCGCCCCGTCGAGCCCACTCTCGATCCTGGTCCCACCGACCTGTTGCCTCCTCTCTCGCAATCAAAATTCGCTTCCTGCTGTCCATCTATAGCTGTCACCTGCCCCGACTGTGAATCATCCAGGGTAAGCGAGACGCGAGATGAAATACATG